TTCTACCAGAAAAAAACAGCAAGCAAATGGTCTGGTAGCACTTTATAGACTAAGAAAACATGTAGGCTGTGTCTAGACTGCATCCCTTTTTCGTAAAAGGGAAGCAAATTAGACATATCGCAATTGCAAATGAAGCGGGGATTTAAATCCCCCCGCTTCATTAGCATAAAAATGGCTGCCTTTTTTCCAGCTTGGAGCTTTGCCAGAAAAAAGCGCCAGTCTAGACGCGGATCTTTTGGAAAATAAAGCCTTTTCCGAAAGATCCCTTCTTCCTTTTTAAATGATCCCTTTTTGGGAGGGGTGTGACTGATTTATGGCCTCCAGCTGGTGTGATGGGGGCCATGAGGCAGTGATAAGTCAGACCCAGGGGAAGCAGGTTCGCGAAGCAAAACATTGACATTTCCATAAACACAACTCCATTTGAGCCGGATGGCCCAGACTAATTATGACTTGAAGAACAAGCCTAGGGGAGTCTATAGCTGCTTGCACCACATGATCAACTCCTTCACCACTGAACCTCTCTACTGAGCATGGAACTTGATTGCCCTGCCACCCAGCTCCAGCCAAGCCAGGCTTGGGGCTGCGGTAATGCTCAGGGGTCTATTGATTCTCTGAACATTCCAGCTTCCCTTCTGATAGAAGGAACATGTTCAGTTTGCAATGGCAAACCCTACTGCTAATGCACCAGGGGGGGAGGGGGGCATCTGTAAAAATCAGGTGTGACTTGCATGATGTGCCTGAAAGGGAGAGTGTCACCAAGCCAACATAATACAGTGGTTATCTGATCAGACCTTCCCAGCCTAGATCCTTGAGAGAAATACACACTTGGTTCCACTCAGCTAGTAACTTTCCAGGCAGGAAGAATGTATTTTGCAAACATCACCAGTGCAGCTAGCACATCCCTCCCACACAGCAAACAGTTTGCAGGTCAGTAAACATCCGTTGTGGTTGTCTTCGCCTAAAGCATTGGTGCTGATGCTGTCAGGTTTGTGAGTGTGGTGTCCTGCATCAGCTTAACCGAGCTTTCAGGGTGCCAGCAGGTAATAAGAAATACCTTAGACTGGAGGCTTCCTCTGCCCCTTGAAGTAGTTCATGTCTGGGTACTTTTTTGGCTCTGTCGATTTGTTTTTCACTTCCCCAGGTGGATATTTCAGTTTTATGAATACTCTGTAAAGATCCTGTAGGTGATTGTCTCTGTCTGTGGGGTTGGAGCAAATCCGGTTGTATCTTAGGGCTTGGCTGTATACAATCGACTGAAAAATGTGTCTGGGATGGGAGCTGGATGCATAAAGGTATGCAAATTCAATTCAATTACCAATGGACTTAATCAAGATATGGCATGGTGACAACTTTCCCCCTCATTTATTTCGAATTTTCTTATCCCCTAGTCATAACTCCGGTCATATGAAGAAGAGTGCCGTGCCCATGAAAGCTCATGATACCATCTACATGTTTTCTTAGTCTATAAAGTGCTACCAGACCATTTGCTTGCTGGTTTTTTCTGTAACAGACTCTCTTGGCTACCCCCTGAAATTTCTACCAGAGTTACAGTGTATGAAGTTCCGCATATATTTCATCCTGAAGTTTTTAGTTGAACCTGGTACTGAGCAGAGCTCATAAACAAAGTGAAGGTGGAAACCGAAGTGTTGCAAATCTCATGGGGTCCAACAGATACCCCACCCCGCCATTCTCTTTCATGGCTCTCAAACTCAATGCCACCCTCCCCCAACTCACAGTGGTCAGGATGGACTCTCCTATTGCTGATCTGTCCACAGATATCACTGAGTCCTACAGCCACAGTGTAGGGGGGAGGAAAGTTTGATATTTTCTTGGACATCTGATTATTCCCATGCAAAAGATAATTCCATACCTTTTAATATATTATTTGAAAAAATTGTAATTTGCTGATCATTCCGCTATGGTGTTATTAACACAAGTTCCCAATTGAGGTTGGCGAAGAGATGTGTCTTAAACAAAACAATGTCTGCTATGATTAATTTTGAATTTAAGGAGCAAATAATCATCAAGCAGGAAGAGAAACAATGGAAGGTGAAAAAGGTGAGGAAAACCAGCAGGGAACATCCTTCCCCATAGGCATTTTGTCTCCTTGTTATGAAGAGGAAATATTTGTTAAAGGGGGTGCGAGAGGACGAAAAAGGAAGGGGCAGACATTCCCACTTTTGTCTCTTCTGCTTGAGTTACTTGGGTGTGTCTAGACTACAGAGTTTTTCGAAAAAAAGTGGCCTTTTTTCAAAAAAGCTTCCCCTGCATCTAGACTACCGCTGCTTCCTATTGAAATTAAATAGAAAGAATGCAGTGGTTTTTTCGACTGGTGTAAACCTCATTTTATGAGGAAGAATTCCTTTTTTCAAATCTGCTCTTTCAAAAAAAGTTGTTCTTGAATGCAAATGGGACTTTTCTGAAAGAAGCGATTGTAGTCTAAACGCTATTTCGAAGGGAGACGTACCCTTTAATAGAATATATAAAGGAATCATCCGTTAGACTGAGGAGGTGTCCTGACCTAAGAACTGTGTTAAATAAGATGGCTAAAATCATGTGGTGAGAAAAACATTTATTTGAATTTCACATGTATATTGCATTTTAGCTTCATTTTTCATGAAATTTTGCCTGTCTTCCATGCCTCACAATTTGTACTCACTTAAAATCCATTACTTGCGGGTTAATACATTTGTTTGATTGTTTTATCTGGTCTCTGTGCGCAAATTGCCTGAGAAATTCAGTTATATGCATATTTTTACTGTTAAGGAAATAATGGACAATCTAATCTGTATTGTCTAGGAGAGGAGTTGGCAGCAGAAGACGTACATGCCAGGAGGGAAATTGAAGACTGTGGAGTGTGTTGGGGTAACTTTGAAGAAAACCAAGGTTTGAGAGAGCCTGGGTGTAACCAGAGTGTGGGTGGCAGTCTGGAGAGAGATGATCCAGCTCTATCTAGCATGCTGGAAGGTGGTTTAAGAGTGGCCCACCTGGAAGCCACTTCAGCAAGGTATTGTAAGGCATACAAAGCTGCAGGCCTGTGTGACACAACTGCTGATTAATCTGAGTTGCACCCTGGATGTCACTGGCACCGACCTAGAAATTATCCCAGTATCATCAGACCAGTAACATCAGAGGTGTGGTTCTCACAGTATTAGATTAATCTGAAAGGGCCAGGTTACCACAGGAAAGGGCCCCTGCACTGATCCATGGCTACAAATGCACAAGCACATTGTGGTCAATACCTGCCACCATTGTAGGTCCACTGATGTCTCTCTCCTTCTTCACTCTGGTAGCAGAAAACCTCCCCCATGTATTAGGCTGATGTTACTCACTGCTATAGGACACATTGGTGTCTCCTTGTCCTATGTGATGCAAATCTCTGAAACCTTGAAGGTTTCATTGTATTAGGAAGAAAATCAGCTTTAGTGTAATCCACTGGGGAGAGGTTTGTATGTAATGCACACAAAGTCATGCTTCCCTGAGCATGAGTAGAAATAACCATGAGTTTTTGTAGTCACAAACGCACACATCTGTCTCTCCACGTCTGTGCCCAGGAAAAAAAATATGTCCCTGCTTCAATTCAAGGAATAATGTTCATAATGCCCTGACATATGGTAGAGAATGTGAGCAAAGGTCTGTAGGGACAATGGGGGAAAGGAGCCTTCCAAAACAGAAGGGAATAGAGAGAGCACTGGGCAAACTGCGGTGCATAGTGACTAAAAAATTGAGGGTGGAAAAAAATGAAATGTTCATAGAATCATAGAACCATAGGGCTGAAAGAGACCTCAGAAGGTCATCGAGTCCAGCCCCCTACTCTAGGCAGGACCATTCCCAACTAAATCAACCCGGCCAGGGCTTTGTCAAGCCGAGACTTAAACACCTCTAGAGATGGAGACTCCACTACTTCCCTAGGGATCCCATTCCAGTGCTTCACTATACTCCTAGTGAAATAGTTTTTCTTAATAGCCAACCTGGACCTTTCCCACCACAGGTTTTTGGAGGACCGGTGTAGCTCAGCTCACTGAGAAAAAAAGGATTGTTTCAGCAGCTGCAGAAGTGGGCACAGAGACCTCATTGGAGGCTGGGCAACAAA